CGGCCTTTCCAACAAGCGGATTGGATACTGGATCTTTTTCTCAAATTGAGATGGTTTTGTTTTTGTACTCTAAAAATTATTATTCTGTATCATGTTATAAACCATATAAATAAACATTTGATATAATGTATGTTTTGTACGTTAGTAATTCATTTCAATTATAATTTGACGTCATTTTCGGTAATAAATTAAAGCACCAAAGAAATCTGAAGAGCCACTCGAGAGCCATAAGAGCCGGGTCTCTTAAAGGAGCCGGAATCCCCATCACTAAATATGCTGATCCCGTCAGGACAGTTGTGCCGAAATATTCCCTTCTACCAAATTCTCCCTCTTCCGCGTGCTCGCGCATTCTGAGTACCGCGGTGTTTAAACCGCATTTCATTCATAAGGAGGTTTAAAAAGAACAGTTTACACTAAACCTAAGGTTTCTAAAGGCAACTACCTAAGTAAAAGTTCCCCGGCCCTACATGAGAGCGCGATACAACAATCAACAGTGCATCAGTAAGAGGAAGACGCTTCCGAGTGGCAAACCACCTTGCTCCTCCCACTCGACACTTAATTCCCGGCTGATACCGGGTGATGTGTACAGTACCTGACGCTATCAACTTTCAACTTGGACAGAGCGTCGGACGATAAACGCAGGCATGAGCGGATCCTATAGTAAGGATTCACACGAAAGTAAACACTGGGTAAAAGATCTACGACTCGAATTACTCCCGATGCGAACATGTATCGCCCCCCCCCTACATAAATTCGCTCTACCGACTTGGGAGACAATACGGATATGGTACGGGAGGACAACACGAACTTATCATACAACTACGTTTATTAGAACACCATTATGCAACCCACACGACCACTCGCACACAGCGTTAGTGCCATTTATTATGTAAACCCAAACACTAATCAATTACGAATAAACCACTTCATTACAAACACACAACGCTACTGATAACACAGCAAAATCAAATTACACAAACGCACACATAGGATTAGTTGTTAAGCAGCAATACCATGCAATGGTGTCCCAAACATTCTCTCCAAAGGCACAGCTCACAATTACAAAGGTTAAGAAAAAAAATCTTCCACATTGGACGAGGATAAGACCTGGGAAAACACTCGCCCCCAACAAAATCCATCATAAAACACACCACTGGATATCCCCTTACACCAGGGGTAGCCAATCTTATCCTCAAAGGGCCGGTGTGTATGCAGGTTTTTGGGAAAACCTGTAGGTCAGCTGTTCAAACCCAGGTGTGAGGACTCTTCAGCCAATCAGTCCTCTAATTAGTAATCTAATTAGGCAGTTACAGCGAAAACCCGCATACACGCCGGCCCTTTGCGGATAAGATTGGCTACCCCTGCCTTACACTATAGCAGTAAGGTCGGGCATGTTAATATAGTAGGCTACAATTTGTATGGAAGTAAATTAATGACAAAAGTCGTTGATGCCAAAAAAGTGCGTGAATGTCATAGGTCTGTGCGCGTATGTGTTTGTATACTGTGTATAAGCTACTGGACACTTAAATTTTCTTCTGGACAAATAAAGAATATCTATCCATCCATCCATCCATCCATCCATCCACTATCTATCTATCTATCTATCTATCTATCTATCTATCTATCTATCTATCTATCAATCTATCTATC